ATATATATATATATAGTTCACTTATACGACAAATGTCTCGCATAAAGCAATTCTCAAAGCACTTCGCAAACTGAATAATTGCATCTAAAGCGTCGACAGCAACCATTACCGTGAGGCTCACTCATTCTTGTCAGCGGCAGTCAACTTTCGGATAGACAGAGCAACATTTTCCAGCTTAATGTGCCTCTTGGCTAGAATTCTTACCAAAACGAACCAAAGGGAACCGGGGGAATGCTCGCATGCCATTCTGCAACGTATATACGCGTTGCGTCATTAGGACATAATAACTTTGTCGCAGTAGTCGCGACGACATTACCGGTGCATTAAGGTTAATTCAATATCAGCCGTTTCTCATCTTTAGCATCTTCACCGTGGCCGCCTGTGCTCGCTTCGCTAGCACGAGCTATCGAGCCTCCCCCTTTTGTCCTCCGACGCTGCGAGAAATAATCGAACGAGTGGGACGGGCGCTCGTAAATGGGTAGAGTGTCAGAAAGTTTATTGAATCGGAGCCATGGTTTCCAGATTAATCCTGCGGTTCGCTGAGACGCGCCGTGCCGCGTCGCGGCAACCTGGCGTCGACGAGAATTAAAACGCTCGTACCGCGGGATCGCGTCGAACGATTTCCAACGATTTAATCCGATGCAACAACTCGCGGTTTTTAAATTCTTCATGGAACGATTTACTTTGCACTTTCCGACGCAACGTTTCAATATAGATGCCGCGTCGTTGGCAATTCGCGCGCCCGTGAATTTCTGTCACGGCGGAAAGCTGATTTTTCCGTTTAATTTTGTATGCCCACGCGTTACTCTGTATTCCTTGGATTCGTTGGAGAAATTATGACGTTTGAGATTGCGATTGAAAATTTGTTGGGTCGCTAAAATCCTTGGTTTTCGACGAGCAAAAGTTTGATAGACAAGATTGGAAGCATGAATTCTTTTTCATTCTTGCAGCGACTGTAACTGTAACGATGAAATGTGCCGTGAAAAATGTATGCTCGAACGAAGAGTGATATCGCGCGTCGTTGTTTAAAAAATAATAAAAAAAAAAAAACGTCTCTGTCAAGCGTGAACAATGTTTGAGCATCCAGATATTTTCAAGTGTATCGGATAAAAAATAACGGGTGACAAAAGTTGATGAAACAATTGAAGTTATGAAACAAAGCATATAAAACCCAAAGTTGCTGAATTTAATTATTCCATTGTTCGCTCTGGAAATCCCAATTTTACTGCCGTTTCTCGACAACAAGATCAACTAACAATGACGTTTGCGATATCTTGTATATCTCTCTCACAGTTTCTTTTATTTCTCACTTCTTTACTCAACTCTCTTGCATTTCTCCCGATTCTTTTTTTTTTCTTTTTTTAACTCGATTACTCGCTGTCCGTCATCTTTTTTCCACTAACTATCGCGTCACTTGAGCCGTCGTCGTCGAGGCACGATAATCACGCGTTGATCAATTTTAGCTGTTCGCGTGGCTGACTCGCGGCCGAGTATGACCACTGACGCGAGGAGTCGCGGGATAAAAATAACAGGCGAACGGAGGACGGTACAAGCAGCGTCAGTGACAGAAAAGTTATTGGATCGTGTCTGCGGTTTAATAGGATTGTTGCAATGGCCAGTCGAAAGCTATCAACTCACGGCGCGAC